AGGGGCGAGCCGGGGAGGCCCCAGTACCAGGCCTCCAGCTCCGCGGAGGACAAGTGGGGGTTCCCCCGCAGGCCCAGACCGGGGCGCTGCGTCTCCATCGCCGGGGGCAGGCTCATGCACTTGCGGAGAGGCGTCCGGCTGCAAGCAGGAGGACAGTCTAGTCACAACCATGGATCACCCCGCAGGACAGAGCGCGAGCACCGGGACAGAGCACAGACATGGGGCCTTACTGCGGTGGAAAAGCAAGCAATTGCGAAGACGAGAGCGCAGGAAATTCCAGTTAGAAGCACTGCAGAGAGCTTGGGCATCGCAAAACCCACAATTCGGAATGTCTTGAAAGAGGAAGAGAGTAGCGGAGGAGGAAGAAACCAGCAGAGACCAGGCTGTTGAAGCAAGGTGACACTGTATAAAGTACGAGGATATTAGACACCCCCATCACATCACATTTTAGAAGCGCGCCTCCTATCCCAGTGTCACGAGCGCCTGGCCCACGCGCCGGCGTGTCGCAGTGCAGACAGCGGTGCCCAGCTGGGGCAGCGGGGGCTCACCTGGGCGCGTCAGGTGCCGCCCTCCCCCAGGCCCGTCTGTACACCGAGCCGGCCAGGTGGCACATCCAGCGCACGTCGTCCGACAGCTCCGGCAGCCACTCCACCAGCCTGCCGCAGAGCGAGAGCACGGCGTGAGGACGGAGCCAGCCCCAGCTGGGGCTCCCGTCCGAGCGAGCGGCGCAGACCGCGCCCCGAAGGGCGAGCCGCCCGCCTCCTCGCACAGAGCTCAGCACAACACCCCTCGGCCACAACAACAGCCATCAGGCCTCGTGTGCTGTACAAACCGAGCCCCGGAGGCCACGAGCCCAGTCTATAAGACATGCCTTTGGAATGCAAGCAATTATACATCGCAGGGAAGACATTTTTTTAGATTAAATTGTTGCACTGGAGACTAGTACGATACTTCCCCTGGGTGTTTGTGGAGCCAAGTGCTTGACAGCCTGAGAGAATGGCAGTTTAAACTCCAAACGCCAACGGTACAGCAAAGCCCACCAGGTGGAGCTGCTCTGCCGCTAGAAACAAAGTTCATCCTAACGGGCTGGGTCCCTGGTTTCATACATGGAGAACGTCCAGGCAACCCCATGACAGTTCATGACCCGCCCCACTGCATTCCTGAGGGTACGGGTCACAGACCGCAGCTCAACAGCTGTGTGAGCTAAGATCTAGACGTCCGGTAACTCTCTCAAAAAAACCAAAAGAGTCACCTTTAGAGAAGTACGATACTTCTCACGGTTCTATAGGTCATCACGAGTGCTCACAGGCGATACTGCAGCATCCCAGAATGCGCCCTGGGATGCCACTCCAGTGAGGAGGAGCTGTAAAAATTCCACAGTTCACTGGGGTGCAGGGTCTACACAAGGCGCTGCTGAGCTCCCACACCGGAGCGCACGTGCTCCCTATACCAGACACCCCCTGGCCACAGCACAGCAAGGCCGAAGGCTGTACCTCAGTGCCACCGAGTACGCAGACTCCACAGGAAGGGTGTAGGGCATGAGCACGTAGGAGGCCACGCGCATGGGCAGCAGGCTGGTCAGCTGGGCGTACAGCCCCTTCCTCTCCTCGCAGGCCTCGAAGAACACTGTGGACACAGACAGAAGGGGGCATCACTCACGTTAGCCATCGCCACACCTGTCCCGTCCCGGGGGGCTCTGGCCTCTGTAAGTCTCCCCCAGCCGCACGCAGCGAGTAATTAGCCCGAATACGTAATGAAGAGCCAGATGAAACCATGGCCGCGGGGCACTGGCATCCTGTCAGGCCTTCCCAGGGCCCTCCGCTGCAACGATCCTGGCCTTTTTCAGACCAGCACCGGAAAGATGTTCTGAAACACTCTTCTTTACAAAACGGTTATGTCTTGCAATGTGGGCTAAGGAAGAGAGTTTGTCTCGAGGGTAAAGGACGAACCGCTGTCTTTCCCCAAGAGCACAAATCGCTCACTCATCAGTGCAAGCTTCCAGGTGCATCGTTCCAGTTTCATTACTGAAACACAGGCCTGACCACTGTTTCCACCTCCTCCCTGCAGAGCCCACAGTCACTGCGGCTACCGGCTGGAACAGGCAGGCAGGTGGGAGTCAGTGGGGCAGGAGTGTGCGTCGCTCGGGGAAGGGCAGGGCTCGACGCCACTGTGTTAGCGGACTCAATCCGGAGTGGAGTACACTATTTCACACTGAAGCATTTACAGAATGCTGCA